AAGCAGTTGAAGGGATTCCTCAAATCACTGAATTAGCAACCGCCATTAGGGCCTTTGAGAAATTCAAGCAACTATTTAATTTAGTCATGGATTCGGTGTATGTAGCTAGGATAGCTGAGAGAGCAGAACATTCTTTATTGAAGGAAATATCAAACGAAAAATTGTTTAACTTGCTCTCGAAATTAATTCATCTCATCTCCCACTGAGAGCAACCTTATCACATAATGCATGTGAGGGCACACATAGACCTCCCCAGCCCAGTAGCAGAGGGCAGTAGGAGGGCAGAAATACTAGCTATGGCAGTCAGTTCCACAAATACATTATCAAACATATTTAACCAAGATAAACTGAGCCCTCAGTTTTATCACCAGAACATACCTGCACTGGTGTGGATGTTCAAAATTACTAGGCACCAAGCAAGAACCATGGTAGCATGGTTCTACATTCCTGAGAACTGAGTACATTAGGTACTCCACTCCCCTAAGTTTCCAAGAAGACAGGTGGCTAGCCTGAGGGCAGGATAAAGCACTGAGAGATAATGCATCAGCTCTTCTGAGTCCAAAATTACATTAGTTTTTAAAATTAAATTCTTGACATTGTTTCATTTGATCCAACCTTTACTCTCCCTCCAAGAACACTTGCACTGGCCACATTCTTTGAAGGATATTTTAAGTGCTGTGCCAGCCCTAAAAGACATACTGATTTTTAAAGTTATGGCATTTTTATTTCTTCTCCCTTCCAAAACCAAATTCTTCCTGCTCCTTAAAAAAAATCCATATATTTATGTCAGATACAAGGCACAAACAACTGTCTCTTATCTTCTCCCCCAACAGACATACCATATAATTAAAATAAGCCACACACTAAAAACATATTTGCCATCTGAATTTAGAAACTCCCATGGAGCAAAAAAGTACACATGACAAACCCTACATAATAAAAATGCTCCCACCCATTTATTCTAGCACACACTTCACGAGTACTGACAAATGCCTTGCAATGACACCACGTTCATTTCTCAATTACCTAAGGGGTAACAATTATCTTTGACAGTAATATATCTTCATGATTACATGACATCACCGTGCTGTTAAAATGACTCAAGGCCCAAGGAGTGTATCACAGAAGGTCCCCTTTGGAGCCCCTGTGCTGAGCTGTGTTAAAACCACACTCGCCAGCTACTCAAAGTGCAAGGGAGGGTACATTTCCAGTAATGGCCTTTGTCCCAAGGTGCACGAGACTCTCACGACAACATGCTCCAAACAAACATTGACAGAGCAGGGAATGACAAGCTGTTCACTTACCTTTTGTCAGCTTTGGGTATGCTTTGATAAGCAATGATGTGCAAGGTCAAACTTCCCTTCAAGCCACTGTATTAAAGATTATTTTTCCCAACACATTATAATATAACATAGGAGTATATGTGTATTTTTATATTTATATATGCATATATATGTATTTTATATATATGTGTGTGTGTACACAGACACACAGAGATATAAACAGATATGTAATAGAAAAAGAAAAGTACATAGAAAACCCAAGAAAATTGGGAACCCAATTTGTAACAGAGAACGAAGGTTTCATAAGCCTCTACAGTCATGTACTTACTTTTCCTGTGGCAGTTGTATTTAAATCAATTATAAACAAGTGTGAACAAGAACACAGTTGCTTTTGTTTATTTACAAATTGTTAATTTTCTTTCCAAACTGTTTGATAAATGACACACTAGGACTGCAAATAGGTTTGACAAATCAGCTGTCTTCAATAAAAACATCTAAAATAAGCAAGTTTTGACATTGCTCTGTTGAGAAGTCCTAGTGATTTGAGCAGGAGTAAGACAATTTCTAATTTCTCTTAAATATTTTTTAAGTCTCGAGGAAGAACTGATTTATAGACTATATGTGGGGAATCTTCGTAACAAATATTATGCCTTCTGAAAGTGTAAACTAGGAATTCTAATTTCTCAATAAATTGAGTAGAACAAAATCAGAACAAAAGCCTGGCTGGCACTGCACAGACTGCAGGAACTGCTTACAGGTGCCAAAGACCATTAGTTTGCTATAGAATCATAGAGTAATTTGTGTTGGAAGAGATCTTTAATGATCATCTAGTACAATGCCATTCCATGGGCAGGGACACCTTTTATAAGACCAGGTTGCTCAAAGCCCCATTCAACCTGGCCTTGAACTCTTCCAGAAATGCCCCATCCACAATGTCTCTTGGCAGCCTATTCCACTGTCCCACCACCTCACAGTAAAGAATCGCTTTCCTTATCACTTATCTAAATCTACCTTCTTTTTAGCTAAACATCTTAGCCCTTGTCCTATCACTACAGGTAAAATGTTTCTCCCTACCTTTCTCAAGAGCCCCTTCTACATAAGGCAGCAATAAGGTCTCTCTTATAAGACAGGTTGATAGTGTTCTCTGATATTAAAGTCTCCTAACATTCTCTTTTGTAAGCTCCATTTTTAATTGTTTGGGAATCTAATGATTTTATATTAATATAAAAATTTGAAGGAAGTTATCTTCCCATCAATTACATGTTTCTGACACCTCTACAAGAAACTAGACAAATTACAAATCTATGCTGGTATCATTTCCTTACACTCACCTGGAGCAAAGTCCAGAGCTGCTTGCAGTGACACGTGCTTCTACACACAGCCACAGGACTTCTCCTGTCATGATCTGTCACAGGACAGCTGGGAACAGATTTTACTTAGCAACAGCAATAAATACTTTTCTCACGTGTGCTTAGTTTCTTCCACTGTTGCTGGACCCAAGAAAGAGAGAGAAAGAGCTGTCTGCTCTGAATGTAAAGGGGACAAAAAGATGGACTGGATGGAATAAATCAAGAGTGTACTAAGAATGAAAGCTGTAACAGGGCACTGGCCGGAGAGCACCAGCTACAGCTGGTGGATGAGAAAGACTGACCACTCCTTAGTAATAGAGATCTGAGAGGAAAAACTCTGGAGACTAGTAAAGGGAGGCTAAATAAAAAGCTAAATGAGAAGACTACAGCTCACTGTACAAGGTGATTAAAAGCAGGATTAAATGCCTCTGAAGTGGTTTATAATGGTAAAGTAAATAAAATGGCACTGAAAGTGAGACAGGGAGGTAGGCTGGAGGGATGGGCTATGACTTTCCCAGTGTTTAGCTAGAAGGCTGGGACTTAGATGAGAAATCCATAAACTGTGTGGGTGACAAACAGGAACTTGTGTGGAAGACAAACAGGAACTGTGCTTTAAGCATGCAGTAATTTATAACAAAGACTCAAAACCAAGAGGTGCTTAATGTCAATTTGAACACCCAAAACTTCCCAGTGCCATTTACCTTCATCTCTCTGTACTCCCAGACATCTACTCCCAACTGTATCTCATGGCCACCACAGAAAGACAAAACCAAAAATATTTATTCTCTTTCAGAACCATGTAAAACCAGAACCACAGAGTATATGCATATAAATATAACGCTCATTCAAAAAAGAGGAAAAGAAGGCAATTTTATCACTGCTTGCACACAGAGCATTTTGCAGAATAAGGCAGAGAGAGCATTTCTGACTGTAGGTATGAACCAACCAGGGTTGAACACATGCTTTTAATTCTGGAATTTGGTAAGCAGTGTGCTTGATTTGATGACCATGAAAATGTTCAAAATTCTTATCTGTGCAGATAAACAGAAAATACTGATGACATTGCTTTGTGCTTAATTTTGTTCCTGAAATACCTATTTGCAAAACCAAAGGGAAGTTGGGGTATTCTAAGCTTAAGTAAAGCTGCAAAGTGAAAACATCTTACTTAACCTTTCTTACTGGTTCATGCCAGTGTACTACCACAAAATGCTTGGGGGTTAAGCAGCAATTAGACATTTTCCTGCCTATCTGTCATATGATGCATGTAACACATATATGACATATCTGGGCCCAGGGCTGTTTGACATGCTCATCCATGACTTCGATGAAGGGCCAGATGCCTCCCCAGAGAACTTGCTGACAACACAAAGCTGGGAGGAGTCACTGTTATCCGGAGTGCTGTGCAGCCACCCATGACAGACGGGACCTCATCAATGTCTTTAATGATCTGAAGGGAGGCTGTCAAGAAGATGGACCATGCTTTTCACAGTTGTGCCAAGCAACAGAAGAAATGTAACAGGCAAAAACTGATGCACAGGACGTTCCTCATGAACGTGAGCAAGAATTTCTCTACTGTGAGGTGACAGAGCACTGAACAGATTCACCAGAGAAGGTGTGGAGTCTTCTTCTCCAGAAGTATTCAAAAGCTGACTGGACAGGACAAAATCCTGAGTAATGCACTCCAGAGGAACCTGCTTGGGGAGGGAGACTAGATGAGATGATTTCTATGGCCTTTTCCAATATGCCCTGTTCTAAGATTCCACGATTCTGGGATGTTATAACACAGAAGAGTAAGAAACCTGGAAGACACAACACAGTGTGTTACGAGGCAGCCGAAGTAACACGCCCCCACTAAACGCTGCTGGGCCCTGCCGGTGTGGCACAGAACAATCCTGCCCTGCTCCAGCAGCAGCCTGGCACGGACCGCTCCTGCAGCCGCGCCGCTCAGCTAGACTGGGCAGTGAGGGGCCGTTTACAGCGCAGTCCCCGCGGGAAGGGCCCACCGGCGGGCTCGGGGACGGGCGACCGCGGGCGCAGCGTGAGCAGGGTAAGAGCCGGGACCCCCGGAGCTGCTCCGCCCCTCAGCGGCCGAGCGGTTGCCAGGCACGGCCTGACGGTGACCAACAACCTGCGGGGGCTGCTGCGCACCCGCCATTTTGCGCCGGGCTAACCGGAGGCGGCGGCGAGCGACTCCCACCATTTCGGGACTGCGCCGCCACCCTCGGCCGAGAGGGAAGGGCCCGCCCTGGCCCCGCCCACCACGGGGCTGGTCCTGGGCCCGGCCGCGCCCTCCGCCCCGCCCCGCTCAGGTATCAGGTGAAACTGGCCGGGAGTGGGGGCCGAGTGGCGGCGGCCGGAGCGCGGTGAGATGGCTGCACGCCGTGGGTTGTGCCTGGTGCTGCTGATCTGTGTGCTGCTGCGAGCTGCCGCCACTGCTGAAGGTGAGCGGAGCGGCGTGAGCTGCCAGCTCGGCTGGCATCAGCGGGGCGGCGAGCGCGGTACCCCCGGCGGGCTCGGCCGCCCCTCAGCCGCGGGCGGGGGCACGGCGGGGCGCTCGGCGGGGCAGGTGTCTGGCCTGTCTGGGGTTCGGGGAGCCCGGAACGGAGAGGGTTGGAAAGCTCGCGTGGGTGGCAGTGTGGCTGCCGGGACCCGCGGGCAGGGCTCCCTGGCCGTCGGGGAAAGCGCTTCACGGGCAAGCACAGCCGGGCGCCACGAGCAGCCCGCAGCCCTCTCAGGGCTTGTGGGACGCGTGGGGCTTGGCTTCACTCGCCTTGTAGAGAATCGTGGAACGGTCTGGCTTGGAAGGGACCAAAAAGCTCCCGTCTAGTTCCAACCCTTCCCCTCTGTCCCGGGCAGGGACAACTTCCACTAGACCAGTTTGCTTAGAGCCCTGTCTAGCCTGGCCTTGAACACTGGCGCAGACGGGACATCCATAACTTCTGTGGGCAACCTGTTCCAGCCCCTCACCACCCTCACATAAATAGTTTCTTCTACCGTGTAGTCTAAATCTGCTCTCTTTCTATTTAAAACCATTTCGTCTGGTCCTGTCACTTAGTGGCCTTGTAAAATGCCCCTGTCCAACCTTCTTATAGTCCCCTTCCCGCCTCCCCTTGCGATAAACATGAAAAATCTTTAAAGACCATGTTAGGTTTTTTTCCCTGATTTAAAAAGCTAGGATTCTTTTTAAATTTTTTAGTCTGTGCTATTGCTTGTTGAACATAAGTGCAGTTTGAGGAAAAAAGCCTTAACTATATTAATATTTCACTGCTTGAAGTTAACTTTTTGCCACGTTTCGTAATAAACCCCATTGCCATATCTGTGCATACCTTTTCGCTGTGTCCTTCCATATTTCATTTACCGGGCTTATTTACCTAATAAAATCATATGCGTAAAGATTGTGCAAATATTGAAGCCAAGCACAGGATATACATTATATACGTATTGAAGCCAAGCATACGTCATATTTTCTCAAGGGATCGATAATAGGTAACTGCAAATTGTGTTCTTCAGAGCGGAGTTCCTGAATCAAGCTGCCATTTAATACCCTAATTATCTGACCTGAACGGAGCAAGGAATTTGGAATTCTCGGGGAAGAGGGAGAGAGGTTAAAGATCCAAAACCCAGAATAATCTTAAATTTAGTCCTGTTGGGAGTATTACTACCACGAGTAAACTAGTTAATTTTTGGATACTCCGTGCTGCTGTCACTTTTGTGTCTGCAGGGTAGGCATAATCCTGTGTTTGGTTTGTAGTGGCCTATATCTTCTGGACAAATGGCAGAGGTGTTGAAACAGTCTTTTGTGGGAGGAGAGAGTAACGCTTTTCCCATGGGCAGATTAGCAAGTCAACTGCATTCTCTGTATGTGAGTCAAGCAGGGTGAAACTCAGTCTTGGAAAAGAGCTCGATTGTTATGGAAAACGCCAAGTGGTGAATGAGTAAAGAAAGGATGTAGAAATGCACATACCTAACAAAGGATTGGTTGCTCAGTGAGGGAGTGTTAACTGCAGGGTAACAGGACACCGTGTCCTTATATGTATAGGTTGCTAGTTGGTCTGAAAAAAGCTGCCCAGTATGTTTTGAGGCTCGAATTAAAGTCAGTATAAAAACAAGGCTTGGTTTGTGAAATCACTCTGTCTTACAAAGTAGAATAAAACAAACCTTTGTCTCTATGCTGACACTCTTGCAGTACAAAGTCCTGTCTGTGGTTCAGGTATCTGTGCATCCACTTTAGTGTACCTCTTACTGTAGTGTCTCACACTAACACTTCAGGACTTTTTGATGAGGCTTTTTATTTTTTTCCTACCTAACCTCTGAACTTCAATTGCAAAGCGTTGTTTTATATCTGATCATAAAACTTTAGTAATAACAAAGTGGGAGTGTTTATTCTTCTGGTTCTCTACAATAATTTGAGTCTTTGGAATGGAATAAAAATAGCATGACTGGAATTTGATGGTATCGACCACTTTCTGATGGACAGGTACTTAACATAGCACTGTATGGTGCATTTTATTACTGTATCCTGATCACTGCTATCAACTTAGTCTGTAGGGTCTGCTTCCAAGCATCTCCCAGGATCTTTCTCAGCTAAGCTGTGAGCCTAATATATCAGCATTGCTTAGCTCATTATCACTTCAGTATCTGGTATCTGTAAGCTATGTCCTTTAGGGTGGTTTTATGGGTTCTCCTGTTCATAGCTCAGCATAGGGAACTAGGATTGCTGCATTATAATTAACTTTTGCAGTACAGTGAACAGTATGCGGATGTGGTCATGGGGCTTGAATGTCTGAACGGAGAATTTTTATTATTCTGCTTTGTTTGTTGTAATTACACCACATATAGACCAAAATGACTATTTGGCATTTGTATTAATTTTCTTTAGGATGGTGGTTTTGTTAGTATAATTTAAGCCTCTGTCTTCATGCAGTCTACTGCAAAGATTTGTCCATGTCATTGTACAGGCAAAAAGTTTTCTTGCACCTCAGTTTTCCAGAGAAGGCTGCCTGGGTCTGGAGATCTTTAAGTGCTCAAGTGAATCAAAGTTAACTGAATTCAAAATTCTCAAGAGTGTGCATATTTCTGTATGCATTTTCAGAAGGTTGCAGAGTCTAGACAGGAATCAATGCTGTACATCAGACTTTTGCAGTTATAATTTGAAAGGAACAGCCATCTAAAGTGGACTGCCTTGTGGAATCTGTACTGAGAAACACACGCTTGTGTATTTACATATTGTGTAAGAATTCTTTAAAATGTAAGGTGGAAGCATTTTTTCATTTGGAACTGTATTAATAATTTTTATCAAAGGGGGAGGCTGTGCTTCAACATTGTTCATGCTGCTCACTGTTCAGGCACTCAAAAAGACTCTTTTTATATTACAATTGGGGGGCTTTGGCTAAACAAAACCACAAATATTGATTGAAAGTTTAGAAATAATCCTCCCTAAACCAGTCAGCTTCCATGTCCGTACAGTTTAGCTGTGTGGAATGGATGTCAGTAGGTGAATGTCTAACTTTTCAGAATGGTGTGGATTCCAGGATATTGCTTGTGCAGTTTAGCCTGTTAGCAGAGGAGGACTGTGCTGTGTGTGCAGAGGTTCTGAACTGGGCTGTTCAAAGTCTGTCCTGCAGGACTCGAGTCAGGAGCACCTGCCTCACCCATACGGTTTGTAAGCTCCCACAGCATTCAAAGAGGCAGAGCAAAGCTTGTAGTGACAGCAGTTTGTGTATGAAGCAACCTTAGGTGTCTGCTCTACCACCTGATAGATACTTCGAGTAAAAATCACAGGGAGCAACTCTCCTGAAGGAGATCCCAGATGCTTTTGCAACTTCATGCACAGAGATAGTGTGTTCAAATTTCTGTTTGGATACACTGTAATGTGTGGCATGCCATAGAGATTATTTGTGCAGGGCTTTGGACATGGCATTCTGACTTTCAGTTTTAGCTTGTCTGAAAGGTAATATGTTCTCTTTTAACTGCATACCTGATTTTTGGGCCATCTAAACTGGCAAAGCTACTGCAGTTAAATTAGCCTGCTGTGACCCAGCACTCAGGTGATCTGGCTGTTCTCTGTGAAAAGCTAATGGTGCCCTGGGGTAGTTGAAGCAGTTTCTACTGTAACTGTTCAGGTGGTAGGAGCCTTTTAACAAGGCATTATTAATATCACTGGTGACATGGAGAAGTGTTTTGGTTTCTGGTAGAATCCTTGAATTCTTGAAGGGATAAAGGTTGTCCTTTGGGTAATAAATTTAAAAGAAAAGGAAGATAAATCATCAAGTGTTTGAATATCAGTTTTAATTTTTCTGCTGATGAGGCTGTCTGTAAATGTTCAGAGCAAATCGTTGTATCTAGTTTATTTCTTAAAAGGGCAAAAAGTCTGTACTTTAACACCAGTAACAACTTTTTTTTTTTTAATTTTAGAGAATGATGGCTCCAGCAAACCAAAAGGAAGAAGTTTCATTGGCTATAAGGTTCCAATTGCAAATAATTCAGAAGAGTTATACAAGGTGGATGAATTTGTAGCAGAAGTCCTCACAGGAAAGCTGACTACAGTTTTTATTCCCATTGTTTATATACTTGTCTTTATAATTGGCTTTCCGAGCAATGCCATGGCCCTCTGGGTCTTTTTTTTCCGAACAAAGAAGAAACATCCGGCTGTGATTTATATGGTTAACTTGGCATTGGCAGACCTTCTTTTTGTTGTCTGGTTCCCACTGAAGATTTCATACCATCTAAACGGTAATAACTGGCTATTTGGTGAAGGTCTCTGCAAAGTATTTGTTGGATTTTTCTATGGAAATATGTACTGTTCCATCCTTTTCATGACATGTCTCAGTGTACAACGGTATTGGGTTGTAGTGAACCCCATAGTGAATTCAAAAAAGAAATCAGAAATTGCTTTGGGTATCTCCATTGCTATCTGGATACTGATTTTGTTGGGCAACATACCATTGTATCTTGTTAATCAGACAGCATATATTTCAAATCTAAACATCACAACCTGCCACGATGTGTTGCCTGAAAATGTTTTGGCTCATGATATGTTCAGTTATTTCCTCTCACTTGCAATTGGACTCTTCTTAATCCCGGCTATCATCACTGCTGTCGCATACATTCTAATGATTAAGACCCTGAGCGCTTCTATCATAGATGTAAGCACTGGGAAGAAACGAAAAAGAGCAATCAAACTCATTATTGTTGTCCTGTCCATGTATCTCGTCTGTTTTACACCTAGCAATGTGCTGATTATTGTGCACTATTCACTCCTCAAGACCTACAGCCAGAGCCATCTGTATGTGTGGTACATAACTGCGCTGTGTCTTTCCGCTTTGAATAGTGGTATCGATCCATTCATCTACTATTATATTTCAAAAGACTTCAGAGACAACCTTAAATATGCTCTTCTTTGCCGAAGTGTGCGAACTACACAGAGGATGCAAGTGTCTCTCTCATCAAGCAAGTACCTCAAGAAATCAAATTCTTACTCTTCAAACTCAAGTAGGACCAATAAATCAACCTACTGAGTTTAATCTTAGGAAAGTGAACTTTTGTTATTACTGGTGAAAGGATGTGAGTGACAATAGACTTTGTACAAGAGACTCTGATGAAACACCTCTGCATTTTAATTACATTGAAGTCTGGAATTTGGAACTGACAGTTGCTTATTTTATGTAGAAATTTTAAGCAGATAAATCTTCCTTGGAAACTGGGGGAAAAAAAGAAGACATTTCAGATGCTGTGCAAAAATGCTGCTGACCTAGAAGTGAGGCTGAAGACATTCTTGTTGAATATAAAAGTTGCTAATAAGCAAAATGTCTCTGGAATATTACACAGTATTGTTAGTATTTTTAATTGCCAGAAAAATCTGTTTTGTTTAACTGTAACTGTAATCTATTAAGCAGCTGAACAGATTGTGTGTATAGGACCTTGCTCTGTCTACCTGCTTACACTGATTATCATTTGAAGCTGTAGAGAGAAGTAGAAGAGAATCCTCTTCACCATCTTGGATTAGATTGCTTATTATCTTTGGTATAATATAATTTATATTTTGTTTTCCAAGTTGTGCTGTAAATACTAACATAGCAAAAACCTGTAATGTTATCCTATTAGAGTTGACAAGCTGATCTTATCAGCTAGCGCTGGGATAAAATGTTAGTTGAGATTATCCACTGTTACTTAACATTTGCCAGTACATGATCTTATATGGGGATATACAACAAAGTTTTGATGGATAGATATTTGATTTTATAAAATACGCCTTGTATTTTTTAAGACATCTAAATAAGATTTTTTTTTGTAACACATTTGAGTTGAGTGCTCTCTTTTGTTCTTTTACATGCACTTCAAAAGTAGTTCAACTTGACTAGTTCAGCTTGCCTGGCTTCACATAAAAAAGATGATATTCCTAACAATTGTTACAAGCATGACAACTGTAGCTGTAATGTCTAAATGGGTTAAGTAAAATTTACCTAATGACACGTTTGTTTGGAGAGCAATGAAAGTAGGATGTTTTGTGATAGTATTTCAGAGGGCCTAGCTAAAATAGCAATGTATATTAACATATGTCTCATTAAGGAGTGGAGAGTTACTCCAGCTCTAGATGACATGGAACACAAATGCTTCTCAGACATAAACAATTTTCTGTTCCTGTTTCCTGACAAGTGCAGGGAAATAATTGCATATTTATTACTGAACTGAAGGTGTTAGCACCCTTTCATTCTGGAAAATGAACGTACATAAGAGGCCACAGTTCACTGGAAGAATTTGAAATTAAGAGAGTTACACTGTATTCACAAAAGGCTGTCTGAACTCTTACCATAGTCTGTTCCCTTTATCATGCTAAGCAGTATGCTTCCTGCTCTATATGCAGTAGTGAGTAATATGAAGAAAGGGCATTCAGTTCATGTACTTACAGACCTACCTGTGCTCTGTCAGGAGTACAAAGGTTATAGGTTATATGTTGTAAAGATGATAGATTGGCAGTGTGTGTCTGTATAATACCACAAAGTGACTGCTCATGATTCACAGATGACTGTTAAATGTCTAAAATATGACATGCTTCATATAGCCTGTCTTTTGGGGAACAAAATTTATTTCTTGCATTATTTAATCAGAAGTGCACTAAGCACTCTTTGTATATCTATACTTTCTTTGTTTCTTTCCTGTCATTCCTGTCAAATAATTAGACAACTCTATTGCAGCTCCTGTGAAGGAAAGTGCTGATCCTCTTGACCATCTCTCCCTTCTAGCCTTCACCTGCAGGTTGGCAAAGCAGGCTGCAATGAAGGATCTTTCTTACCTGTGGCAACAGTGGAGGTCTGCCAATGGTACAAGTAAGAATTAGACGGTACTGCAGTATATTGAAAGCTTCTTGAGAAAGAAATTCTAATAAATAGAATGATTTCTTTTTAAAATGGGGCTCTGTGATGTGTGACAGATTTTGGAGAATACTATTCAAAGAGCTCACAGTCATTTAAGTGAAGCTTTCCTTCTGTGTAGCTATATTGCAAATCCTTTTCCTGAATTTAGCATGAATTAGTTTGCTTCAATTAACAAAGCAGTTAGACTAGTCTGGTTCTTCATTTGATTTTATTTAGTTCCTGGAATTGCTGATTATGTGCCTGTGCAGCCAGGTAGTGGTAGGGTAAAAATACAGCCTGTGAGGGTGGAGGTGGTTGCTTAAACCTTTTTGGGAGAGGGAGTGGAGAAGGGAAGGCTGTACCCTTGGGCAGGGTTGGTTGGTATAAAGGTAATTGTCTTCAGCTTAAAATTAATACATGCCTGAACAGTGCCAACTTTGTAATTCAAACACTAAGAGAACCCAAAAATTCTTCCTGCCTATTACTGATTAAAGGTTTAGATGCTAAAAAAATAATCAGTGCAACATTCATGAAAGCATCGGGGAGTTGAAAATCAGGTGTATTTTATGTCCACCGTGTCAAGCTTTCACAAGCAGCTCAAGCTTATGCCGCACCTGAGAAATAGATTAGCCTTTCCCTTAACCCAGCTGTGTGATCACACTGTTTCTTCATACTGTCACAAGCAAGTGTGACCTTGGGGTGGACTGGATCAGCTCTGGGTTAAAGTTAAACTAGGAGGATGGTGAAAAGTTTACTTTTGGCTTGGAACAGTATTTGGTTGTTTTGCTGGATGAGCTCTGTGTCCAGAACAGGAGAGAGGCTCAGACTGTCTCACCATCAACATGCTTCCACTGTGCAACTACAAGGCAAATCAAAGCACAGTAGCTGCCTAATCTTCCAAGCAGCAGGGAGCAAGCCTCCACCCATGACCATAGGAATAGTTCTGCTCACTTTGGCTCAGGGTAGATCCAGCTCTGCTAGAGTAATCTTCTCACCTTCTCCTCTGGAGGTCAACAAGATAGCAAGGCATCAAGGGACATGTCAAGAAAACAGCAGGACTGCTGCACGAGGCACCTGGCCAGCACACCAGATACACAGAAGATGTGGCAGGCACCACATCTTGTGTGCTGCAGTTTGGAGCATAGTTGAAATGTGCTCTGAAGTTCAGAAAGAAAAAGGAGACAAAGGCTGGGGCAGCTGAAGTCCTTGCCAGCTGTGAGGAAAGCTGCTGCTGAGCAGGTCTATCTGACTAGAGAATGTGTAACAGCAACAAAAAGAAGTTAGAGGCAGACACTCAGGTAGGAGTAAAACCAACACAGCCAAGAATCACATCCCCCATCACAGTGTCTCAAAATCCTGCTGCCTTCAGCATTAGAATTTTTGGCTGGCCTCATTTGAGTGTCATGTTGTCAACCTCACTTTATTCACTTTGAATCAGGACCCACAGTCTTCATTGGATGGCCCCTCTTTCCTAAAGAAGATAATATGAGTAAGTCCCTAACTGTCTTGTCCATCCACTTGAAATTTTGTAAGCCAGTATCATATTCCCTCTTAGGTACTTTGCAAATTGCAGTGTCATTACAGTTCCTTCCCAGTCAGCCACTCAGCAGCAGACTTGTTTCCTTTCTCTCAGACCTTCCCATTTCCATACACTGTCTCCAAATGACACATAGTAGTCAAGCTGTGGATGGTACAGTGATGACTTCTATTTTGCACTGTGTTGCTTCCCCAATTGCCCTGACTATTCAAGGTTGGTTTTAATTTTTTTTTTTTTTTCTCCTGCTCCTTAGCAATGAGCTGGTATTTTTGTGCAGCTGTCTAATTACATCTCTCTCCTGACTGGTTACAGTCTTTTCACAAGCCGTAGTTCTATATGCCAAGTTAGAATGTTAGCTGCAAACTTTTGTTCCTCAGTGCTTTACACTCTTCAGACCATTTATAAACATGTAGAACATTACAAGTCTGGCACCACACTGGTGAGTTACTGGCATAGTGATGACTGACTGTTTTTCTGCTACTGTGTATTTCTTTCTTTGCAATCACTTATTCTAGAACAACCTTCCCTCTTATTCCATGGCTGACTACTTTATTTGAAAATCTTTGATCAGAAATTGTGCCAAAAAAATCTTTTGGAAATCCAAGTAGACTGGATATGCTGGATCATCCTTATCTCCACTTGTGCTTGGCCTCTTCCAAGAACTCCATAAAGTTTTTAGGTCCAGAATTCTCTTAACAAAAACAGTGGTGACTTTTACCGGAAAGGTCAAGAAGTTCCATAGTGATGACCTTTCTCAGGCTCTTCACTGTCTGCTCAGTACTTGTATTGAGCTTATGGAACTATATTTCCCTTGACATGTCAGAACCTTTTATTGATTACAGCATTGGCTCCCAGTACTCAGGTATAATTCTGGCAAAAGATAACCCACTTCAGTTAGTAATTCAGCTTTTTTTGTCTTAAGTTTTTTCATATCTCCTCAATGAATACCACCTGTGCCCACCAAGTTTAGCATTCATTTTGTCTGACTGTGGTATGATGACTGAAGATATTTAGCACATTACGTTGTAACTGCCCTGGGAATCAAGCAGTATAATGCCTACCTACAAAAACAGCCATTTGGGACCTAAGTTTCATTACGGATGTATTTGATCTGTCACAGGCTCTTTGAACACGGTTAATAAACAGCATCACTCTTAAATATGGCATAAACACAGTAGTCATCATTTTGATTCAACAACAGCCAGGAGGGTATATATTACCTACATGTTTTGTCTCAGGAGTGATAACCTTCTTTGGGTTTGCAGGTAAACATTCTCCAGGCACTGTTTGCTAGCAGGACCAGTACAACAGGCTGGCTACATAGTCAGCTCTCTGTCATCCAGGCCAAGGGAGGTGGAGATGCTTCAGATAATGGAAAAAGGACTAGAGATTGTGAAGGATGCATGGAATGCTGTGCAGAGATGCTGTGACCACTTCTCTCAATCCATGAGGACTCACTGATCCAGTGCTAGCTTTTGTGACATGGATTTTTATGTCATTGAAGTATGTCCACAACCAGCTTCCCTGATGGTCTGGCCAGCTCTTTGGAGGCCAGACAAAAGGGGGGAAAGGTCTATTTGTGTGAACGTGGAGACAAGTAGGTTCATAGCTACTCTGGAGTTCATTAAGAACCTGGAATTGCATCTGTGGTACAGAGTCAGCTCAGTAGTACCAAGGATGACCTGGTATTTGTGACTAAATCCTGTCAATCTCCAGCGTCTGTGCCTCAGTATAGATGCAGCATTCCAAGTGCAGAGGTAGCTAGTGTGTCCATTCCCATGTCTCTGGGTACCCTGCTTCCCTGCCACATAGCTGTTGAATGCTCTGTGCGACTTGTGTCAGTGTGGTGCTCACCTGGATATTGCTTTTTGCCAGAGCATAGGAGTGTCCACAGGAGAGAATGAGTGTAATCTCGGATCACCTGACCCATAGCTAGAGGCCTAATGTAGCTGGAACCTAGACACTGCATCTTCATGGTAGAACTTGCTACATCTGGTCTCCATAGGATTATTATGCATGTTGTAAAGTCAAGTCCTGCTGCTAAAGTTAGGTCTGTGTTCGGAGTTCTGCGTGTCAACAACAAGGTCTGCAGGTAGCACACATGGACTGAGCCTCAATCCTTTGTTTCAAAAGTGTTAGTAATATGCAGTAAAGAGCATGAATGAGCACTTGTATCGTGAAGCAAGGCAACAAAATGTGGGAGGAGAAGAAAAGCCTAAATTTGACCAATCTACATATGGAACTTGAGAAATGCCCTGATAACAACTCTCAGCTCTATCAGTAGGTCACCTCCAGGTATTACAGCTCCCATAACCAGTCAGTTGGTGCAGAGATCTCTGGTGAAACAATGGGCAGGAGGGATGTCTGTGTTTTAAGATACTTCTAAAAATCAATGTACAGTAATTCTTAAGGCTGGCAGGATTTTAATTGTCGAGCATGCATCAAGTGGTGAGTGCATCTGAGAACAAACACGAGTGGCATGAGTGAATATCTCTGTTGCAGTTATCAACTACATTTGGTTCAGTAACTGCGCTCCAGCTTTGTGCCTCACCTTCAAGAAGCAAACTGCTGGGGACAGAGTTCAGTATGTTTGAGTCTGAAGTGCTGTTTATTTGATAATACCCTTTCCCCTCCCTTCCCTAATTTATAGCATCTACCAGGATTTTAATGGCTATGTGATATCTTGTAGAGGAGATAATACTCTTCCATAGTTCATGGTATGAATACAGATCCTGTTGCTTAGTAAGGGCTTAGTTCAGGGAAGTCTTGAACATTTGGGCTATGCTGCCTTTAATTATATGGCAGTGTAGCAGTACAGAACACTATCAGTATTCATGCTTTCTCCACAGAGTGAGTTCAGGACAGTATGTACTCATAGTGTTGTGGTTTAGCAGTTGAGTCCGTGCTTCCCCAGCTGAATGACTGCAGTCATAGACTGCTCTGTCACATAATCCTGTGGACTGCAGCAAGTGGAGAGTTAGAGCTCGTTCGGATGGAGCCTGCATCTGTATATGTAAGCACTTGGGGAAAAAGGAGTAATTTCGGTAGGTAAAACAAGGGGATATGCTGCTTCTTTGGAGAGGGTAACCCACTAAATAAGAGGAAATAAATGAAATAATTAACTTGAAGAACGTAAATTAAAAGATAAAATGTGATGGGTAGGAGTTTCCTTAATGTGCTGAAGAGTGTCCTGTGTCATGCATTGTCAGAAGCCAGGGGGATATAAAGAAAACACAAGAAGCCGTCGATGAGCCAAAATGACTGCATTGTCTCGGGAGGGAGCGCCACACTGTGGTGTTCCCTGAATTTAGCTGGCGGTGACTCAGGACTAGCACATACTTTCAGATTGACACAACACGACCCTTGACATTTCATCTTCAAATCCCAGTCTGGCAAACCTGTCTGGCTTTCTGTGAGTGGATAAGCTGAACAACATGGTTCAAAGAGTAAAAGTATCTCGGACAATAGCACTAATCCAGGACATGTTGGAGGCAAGTGGTGCTGTATCCCATTCAAATGAAGTTGCCTGCTTTGAAGTCACTAATGTGTCTCCATTAATTTCAGGAGCACAGCTTGAAATGCTTGGGATGCTGTATTGTAGTGATATTATTTGTGAGCTGGGGGAAGTATGCTACTGCTATGAAGAGTGATTTGATGGCGAAATGAAATGCTGAAAGGAAGTTATGGAACTGCTCTGTCATAATTTATAAAGACTGTGTTGTGTGTATTAGGCTGGTTGCCTGGAAGCTCTCTGTGTCACTATGACTAAATAGGCAGAGTCATGAACACTACAACAATAGCCAGTAAGATTATCCTCAGTAAATGTCTGAGTGACTGCCAGACCCTGGGAGAGCCGACAAGGTTGAGGAGCCTTGCAGCACTCCCAGCAAGCATGGCATTTTGGTTAGCAGGGTCAGCAATGGAGATGACAAAGAAAATCTCTAAAGGTGATGGTTGGTGAACTGCTTGTCAAGGGTCTGTTTGGTCTGATGCCTCTGAAGAATGCAGGTGCCTTTTTTCAGGTTTGCTATTGAAGGATGTAGGGCTGGCACCAGCATCAGCAAAAGTCAGCCCACAGTGAGGTCTGTGTAATCAAATTCTGCAGCTTGAGCCAAGAAGGTGCTGAGGAAGAGATGGCAAGAGAGAGAGGAGAGTCCACTGCCAGCTACCTTCACTTTGGTAACTGTGCTATAGCAGGGCATGAGCAGATGGATAACAAAGGTTCTGTCTCTAGGACATGGGATAGCACAGAGTGGAGATACCTCTGCCAGGCATGGGGAAATGGCACTACCTGACATTGCTGCTAAGGTCATGGTTTCCACTGCTTACACCTGAAATCAAGATAGCAGGTCTTTAGAAAGCAGCCCTCTTGTTTCAACAATCTTTGATATTCCATGTGTGCTTTAAGTTTAAACAGTGTTTGGCATGAACACCAACCCTAGAGTCTGGTTGTAGCACTCAAAGACACTGAACCAGACCTGTCAGATGTGATTGGGAAGAACAAGGGCTCCACAGGGCATTGTGGCTTGAGGACCATTTGTGTTCTTGTTCAGGTACTGGTGTCACTCAAGTGTGCACATGGGACACATCTTATGCCAGCTGATGCACAGTTTCCCTTAGCATGAATTCATGGTTCCTCTTTGCTGAGCAATTAATTCTTTTCTCAAAGAGAGAGTTCCTCACAGTTTGTAATCAGAAGTGAGCTCAAGACACACATGGTATCTAAGCATCCTAAGTGAGTAGGCAGACACCTGCAGAAGGTAGTTCATCTTGCCTGGCCGCCTCTTTCCTCCTTCCCAGAGCACCCACTTCCCCATGAGGAGCCGAAGCCATTGTACTAAAGTCAGAGATGCAAGGTTTTTAGCTCTTGGTGTTTCCGTGGAGTAGACAGCCCTCCGCTGAGATCACACCCACACTGTTGCAGAGCAGCCTCCTAGCTTCATGAGGCTGGATACGGTGCCGTCTGGGCAGACAAAAGGGACACGGCAAGGTGCAGGACCGCAGCTTCTCAGCGAAGGGGGAGAGGTACGTGTCACATCCCAGCCAAGCTGTCAGTCCAAGCCCAAGAAGGTCGGTGATATTTTGGAACTAGCTGAGGACTCCGTCGATCATCTGGGAAAAGAATGTTGCATGCAGGATAATGCTTTAACTTTCCGAGTATCGCCAAACAGAGCTGATACTGTGATTAAAGGCTCCCTCTTCTGTTCCCAACTCTTATTGCACACTCTTTAACAAACAAGCGCGAAAGACAATCCGGTTTCCATGTGCTATGCTTTATTTTGTAATACCCCATTTCAAAATACACATACATATCTGATGCAAGACAAGAAGATCGACTTAACAGGTGATATTAAATATCCCTGCTAGGTTTGGGATCAGGGAAGCAGATTGCTGGGGAGATATGGGGCTCCTGGAGTGTAACTTTCAAAGCAGAATATTCTCACAATATCTTTCAATCTCCTTTGTTTTTTCTTTGATTTGAAACACTGCTAAAACTAAATCTTTAAAGCATAAGCTTATCTGAGCAAGAAGAGATGTTCCTGTCTAAGTCTTTTAATCTCCAGATTTCTGGAATAGTATGACAGGCAGAAGTTTATTGTCAGTGATAGTTGATTTCTGTCTTTATTTCCAGATCATCTGAGCCCATGTGAAGCTTTCCATTGTGGAAATGTTGCTTCACCTGCAACTTCTACTTTTGACTTAATGCATATTTACCATGGCCATTGTAGTTACATATAACTTCATATTGCTGAGAGTGGTGGCTGAGGCTGCTTCACAAGAGTGGACTCAAGAAAAAAATGTACTTCTTAAGTAAGAAATCAATATTTGAGCAAAAGCAGAGCTTGATATGCACCTAATTTTTGCCATCTATCCAATATAGGTTGGATATTAGGAAAAAGTTTTTTTATAGAAAGGGTGATAAAGTACTGGAATGGTGGTGGAGTCACCATCCCTGGATTTGTTTAAAAAAAGATGTGGCACTTGCTGCCATGGTTTAGTTGAGGTGTTAGGGCATGGGTTGGACTCAATGATTTTAAGAGTCTCTTCCAACCTAGTGATTCTGTGTGATTCTGTGATTCCTCAGTGAGGAATTGTAATACCCTTGCAAGATGCTGCAAGTCCTTCTCTTCGATATCACAGGCAGAACATGGGCTGGGATGCATTTCTTGAGCTGCAACCTATTGTGTCAGGTGAGTCAGGAACAACTGAGAGTGCTGGACCTGTCCTACTAGTGGAATTGCATCATTAGAGGAAATGAGAGCATCTGCCTTTCATTTTTCTGCAGACTTTTCTTTACAGTAACATGAAGAATGAAGAATGGGAAATGCCTGGGCTCAGTTGCCTGACAAAAAACCCACATAATTTGTTATATCATTTAGGAACTTTCCACAGATCAGCAACATCTGTCATTTGTTTGTAAGTTCCATGAGTGGCATCATTTTACATAGATAGTCCCTACTATAAAAGACATCAGTGCCTGTTATTTTTCAATGACCACTGGAAGATACAGCATGTGTAATTAATAAAGGAACCATAATTAGAGGGCTGTACAATTAAGGCAGCAGTCACTAATGATGTAATACTAGTTTCTGACATACTTCGTTCAGAGTATGCCTCCAAGGAGTCTTAACAGCCTCAGTTATTTGATATTGCTTCTTTTTATCTGAAAATAAGGATGCTTTCACTTTTGTACCAAAAGGAACATATTTAAATATCCAACTCAACACAATAGAGAGAAGATAGTAGCATAAACTTGCTCCTGCAAACCCACCAGCCTCTTATATTTGCCAATTACCCCAAGAAACCAGAATATTCTAGAACAAGAGAATAAGTAGGAATGGTGATATCATCAAGCCTTTTAATTCACTAATGGTAGTGCTTTGTATCATCAAAAGTACACCTAAAACCTCATTTAACACCAGTCTCTGCATATGTGTCAGTGTATTGTCCTGCTTTCACTGGAAGTAACAGAGTGACAATGAACTTTAAAAAAACCTTTAAATGAAGGCAAAAGAGTTAGTTTGGAAAAGACTTTCCATACAGCTAAAATCTAATGTCACACTAAAATCACTGCAAGAAAAAAAGGCAAAAAATACTTGCAGGGAAAGTAAAAGTATAAATTTTAAAATGTCACACATCATATGAGTCACTGACATTCTCCTTTTCATAGCTCACGGTCTCTGATATTTTCAAATATCTGAAAAGCAAATAACAGAAATTCATATGAATCTGATTATGAAGGAATTTCTGTTCAGAGTGATATATGCTTCTTAGAAGGTACAATATTAATATTATTAAACTCTCAGGTATAACAGATATAGAAAACCAACTGCAATCACAGAGTTTGAATGCAACCTGTACAATGTCCTGTGATTCAGAAAGAGTTTAAACAGTGTTATGTCACTCCTTGAAGTAAAGAGAAGACATTTTGATAAAAGGTGTAATACTGTTCACCATGGCAGGGAGGAGATGAGGAGGAGGCTGTGAATGTAACTTAAGCTTTTTCAAGGCTTTGTTATAGAAGTACTTGGGAAATAGAACAAGAGCAATAAAACATAACATCCTTTTAGAAGGCAATAGAGCAAAGGATTTGTGGATGACTGCTCTGTTTCCTACAGCAGACATGATATCTTATTTTAGTGGGACATAGTGCACATTTCAGTGTAATTGCTTTGTAGGCTTTCAATCCTTCAAAACTCTTACTCACTCATTTTAACTCACTTTGGTGATTTTATTTCCCTCTTTTCCAAATTTTGATGATATATTTTAACCATGATGTGTATTGGTTGAGTAATAGTTCTGCAATCACCTGTGTTTGCTTTGTCTCGTCCAACATCTATGTCTTTGGCTTTATGCACTGAAGGTGTTTGCTGAAATACTAATTTTTTTTCCATTCACGCTAAGTTTCGGCATCTAATGTAGCAGACTTGAAAGTGAGCTAACTGATCACCCACAGAAAACAGGCTTCCTGTAGCAGGATGATGGGAAATGATGCACAACCTTGTAAGAAACTCATGCTGCAGACTGAGATGCGATGAAGGCTACTAGAGCCAGGGGAGCCCTTTGCAAATGTGGGGGCTGAAATGCTTCAAGTGTTATTCATGGGAGGTGCAGAAGCAAGGATAAAAACAGCAAAGAGAAGTGACAGAGGAATCAGAACAGCAGTACCCAGCAAGTGCTGGCAAAGGCTTGAGAATATGTTTGTGCAGTTTCCAGGGACACACAAGTGCAAGTGCATTCTGTGTCACCATGCTGGGCTTATAGCTAGCCTCTTGGCACCATACATGCCAGGTGGCACAGGGCTGTGGTATGAGATTGGCAGTGTGTGGCCAGGGTGTGAGCCAGGAGACCAACAGGAAGCCCAAGGACCATCGCATTGTTTGACATGAAGGAGCTCCCTGTCTGGCCAGGTACAGCTTGCATGAGGTATGGCTTGCATGTGGTACCTGCCAGGGCTTTGGGAGCCAGGAGCTCCTGCTACTGCCCTGCAAAGGGAGCCGTGGAGGCACAACAGAAGGGGTGGTGCATCTTGCTGATACATTGGAGTGTATCTACACACTATAGTGTATTATCAATTCCTCCTCCATATAGAGAGAAAACATGCAGTCCCACACTCTAAGGTGTGAAGAGGAAATTATGCCTGTTGACTTTCTCTGTTACTTCCACCATCTCAGCTGTTCTTGATTTTCACACGCATGCAAAATATCTCTGGGCCATTTATGGTGCTCATTAAACCAGGAACAACCAACTAATTTCCTTGTCTTTTAAAGACAATTAAATCAATTGTGTATTAACTACCTCTACCTCTGCCTCCTAATTTGCATCAGCCTCTAACACTCAAGCTAGCCTCTGCTGAAACATGCATTGCACCTGTAGGGTTCGTCTAGCTTCTTTCCTAGTACTATCAGAAATTCACTTTTCTGGAGCAGATCCCTCAGAGCAACTGCAGCTGCAATAGCTGTAAGAACATCCAGGGAGTACATCCAGTAAGCACAATGAGTAATTACTTCTTACCTTCTCTGTGCCACTATTGAATACACATAATTCTTTGACATTCCCAGTTAAATACTTCTGCAGGCTGAGATGTCTTGTATATTTAGCTCTTTCTAACATAGAAGCTGTTTCTTTGCTGCTCTTATAATTCTGCTGTACTGAGAGGAAGATGAAGGTGGGAAGAATGCCATGATGTTGAATAAATGGCCTTCCCTTGAGCTCAGTGGCATAAAAACACTTCTGGTTTTTTGTGTTCCATTTCTTTCCTAGCCCTGTTTGTTTTAAGGTTCTTACTGAACCAACATGTTCACTTGCAGTAACCTCAAGATCTCTCTTATGAATTCTTATAGTCAAATCAGAGCTTAAAATGTACCCATGACACTTTGTATTTAATCTGTGTTGAATTTATCTGACACGATATCACTTAATTTCATGAGGTTCTCTTGCATCCTTCACAGCAGAACTTTAACTTTTATGAACAAAAAGTTCATTCATTCTCCTTCCCTTTCTGAAATAACCAATGACCATATTGATTTGCACTACCTCCAGCACATGTGCCTGTGAGACCCCATTGCTTGTTCTGTTCCCTTGTAAAACCCAATAATTTACTATTACCTATCTTCCAGTTAGACATCTCCTGTGTGATTCTTTTAATTGTATTCCATGGCAGCTTAGTTTCCTTAAGAGTGAGGAATGCTTTCTGGGAACAATGTGGGCAGTAATCAGGGAGGTCAGTCATCACAAACTCCTTCAGGGAGTGCCAGCAGATTTGCATTGTGACTGTTCTTTACTTTTCCCCAGTGTACTGTGTTTAGTCGTGTTCTCACCCTTCTGGTTTTCAGGTGGGTCTCTACCTCTTTGTCCAACATGACAGCAGACCTGATTTTCACTGGCTCCCTGGGTGGTATTTGGCATTGTACCAATCAGTTTTCCTTGCTGTGTTCCTGAGCCAGAGGCTCCCATTGTTCATCTACCTCAAGTTCTTCAGAAGCCTAGGCTGGATTCCATCCCATCCTGACTTGTTACCTCTTGTTTTGAGGATCTGTCCTATAACATCTTCCACCTTCACTTTAGACTAGGACAGATCCTTCAACATATCTCTTTCTCTATCCTCTGCGAACCTCTTCAAGCTCCACAACAGCAAAAACACATGCAAAATGCTT